AGGGAGCCTGAGATGGTCTTTATTCTAAATGTAACTTTACTCAATTTCTGAGGTTTAGCTTTTCTACCATTCATATGGCAGAAAATAGTTACATTTTATGTGATAATGTTCCTTTTTAACTGAAGAGTGACAAAATGAATCTTGGCTGAGATCTGGAGGTTATTTGTTTTATAATTTTCCTTTCCTTCAGAGTTATTCTTTCTTGATTTTGTGGGGCTTTTGCCCCCCACACACAGACTGAGGTTTAGCCAAAGACTCAAAGACCAGTTTTTAGCCCTTTTACTCTGTGTAGCTAACTCCTCCTTGGAGCCCTACACTTCTCACTACCCTGAAACTCCACGTCCTTAACTGAGCAATGTTTCCAGACTCTGTTTGAATTCCCTGTCCTTATGCCACAGTCTGGATACTGCCTGCTGGCAGGAAGTCTGTGTGATTATATCAACTATTTCACTGTTTTTCCTTCTCACAGAAATACACTTCTGTGCTCCTTTTCAAATTCTGAAAATAATATTTTTTATTTTTTTCTAATTTTTTTAGCTGTTTATTATAACTGGATAACCCTGAATCCTGTTCTTCTTTTATGCCTGAACAGAAAAGACATCTACACTTTTTATTTTTTAATTTATTATTTATATTCTTAGAGCATTATCTCAACTCAGCATTAGTTATTGTACTTATTTCTTTAATATTTCCACAATAAGAATATTTATCCACACGAAAAAGGCTGTAATAAGTATGGGTTTACTTTGTCACTGTAGATTAAATTATGAGAGTTTTTTGTCATTGATGAGTAGTTTTATCAGTTAGATGGATTTAGATGGAGGATAAATTATATCCTGTGACAGTATTCACTTCAGAGTATACAGGGAGGTCGGAGATTATAAAGCTACTGGGTTCCAAAATGGCACTAAGAGATGATATTTACTTGATGAAAACCACGTCGACACTAGAGATCCTATCATTTTCCATAAACTTTTTTTACCTGCTAGAGAAAAACTTTTTTCTCACAGAACATACACTTGTATCTTCTGCTTGGCATTGGCCAGTAGTGGAAGAGCTGACATGTCACTGTGAACAGTGTTTCACAAGACCCACTGATCCTTCCCCCTTCCTTTATATCTGACACTTCAGAGTCTGTGACTTTTGCGGAGTTCTAATAAGTGAATCAATTTTATAGTCAACTAGAGGCCCCTATTATATATTCTGGGTTTTGATGACATCCTCTTCGTCAGTGTACCATCTGTTTCTTTATATTCAGGACAGTTGTTGAAACCTGTGACCCAACATCATTGCCAGGGGCTGGAGATACAGCTCAGTGGTATAAGCACCTGCCTAGCAAGCCTGAGGTTGTGAGTTTGATCCCCAGTAGCATAACAACAAAAAACAAAAAGCCCCCGAACCCCCAATGTGATTGCCAGGATTTCTGTCATTTTTATAATTTGGTTCATTTTTATACTCCTGTTCTTCACATAAAGAATTTCAAAAGAATAAAGGGTCTTGATATGTATTTCAGGCCAACTTTAAACTTGCTATGTACTCCAGGCTGACCTTGAACCCACGATCCTGCCTCGGTCTCATCTCCTAGGATTCATGTGAGTTTTTGTGTTTCCCCTTGAGGGGTTTGCTGTTTTATTCTGTCCATCTGTCCAAGAATCCTAGTGCTGTCCTAGTCCTTTCCAGCTTGGAAAATTGTCCCTTTGGCCTGACCCTTCAGAATACGTAGGATGCGGGTCTTTGCTCGTGGCCACTGCCACTGTGGGGCTACTGGGAGATATGAAATGCCTGTCTTTCTGTTCTTCCTTCCATCCGTCTAACAGTCTCACCCACTCTAGTTGGCCCTCCAGCTACCTCTAGCCTTGACTTTGTTCTGAACCTCACCTGGCCTCTGTCTGCCTCCTCTAGAAGATAATAAGATAGAACAGTGTCCATTTTCATGTTCCCTTCTCCCTTTTTGATTTCTCCCAAATTAAAAAATGCTTGGGTTTTGTTCACCTTCAGGCCCCAGTTCAAACTTCAGTCTCTCTCCTATCAGATAACTTCCTTTCAGTCTCTTTTTTATTCTATACCTTGATACTTTTTCTTTAACCTTCTCTTATTGGTGTAAGTCTATACTGTCAAAATAAGGGAAATGTTATGAAATCTCTATTGTGAGTCTCCTAAAAAAGGACTATGGTACCCCGAAGGGAGGTAATTGTTTTATGTATCTCCTTTTTCTGTTAATCCTCCCTCCATTGCTGCAAAGCAGCTGCCTGAACTGTTTCCCCATATCATTACTGCTCACAGCAGAGCAGTAATGATAACAGAGAATGAACTCCAAACTCCCAACTTGTGACAAGTAAATACAGGAAAAACTGAAATAAAACACAATACAATGCCAAGGAAAAATGCTACAAATAGGATCAACATTAGGCTGGACATGGTGGCACATGCCTGTAATCCCAGAACTCCAGAGGCTGAGGCAGGAAGATTGTTGCCAGCTGAAGACCAGCCTGAACTATAAAGTGAGTTCAAGACCAGCTTGAACTGCATAGCGAAAATACAAAACACAGTCAAAAACACAAAACAAAGCAACAACAACACCAAAACAAGATAAAGATGTTTTTTAAAGGGTTTAAATCATGAGATTAAGTTTAAACTGAAATCTGTACCTAACTTGTTATAGAGAATAAACCAAACTACAAGGTTGAATATTAGGTTTAAAAAAAATGTCATGGTTTACACACAGCCTACAGTGAGTCTTGACAAGTCACAAGCACAGTTTGACCCCTGACTCATAATACCAAGAGGGAAAACAACCTTCTTGACTGCCCATAATGAGGTACGAGGGAAATGAGGGAACATTAGGGAAACATCTTAAATGATTAGTAAATTTACTTTAAACTCAGTAGTTCAGGTTAGTATATTTTGATCAATATGCCTGAAATAGTTCTTACGAAAAGCTTTGGAATAATTCTTAAACTGCATCTCTAGGGTCAGCTTGTTCCCTTGTTGGTTTCTGCATGAAAAAAGATAATTTGTCACTTAAGGCTGTGTAAAGTCTTAAAAGGCTGTCAACCCCAGCTAAAAAGTAACACCTTTGCTCTTCTTCCTACTTTCTGCTGGTGCCAAGACAATTTACTGCTCAAAGTTACTCAAAAGTCTGTTATTTAAGAAACTGTAATGAAAGTGTAAAATCTGAGTTAACTTAAGATAAAAATATGCCAGGAATTTTTAAAACCCAAGTGGCTATTAGACTTATAAAAAGAAAGTCATTAAAAAGGACAAAAGAATTTCTAAACTGGGAGATATAGGTGTGTCAAAAGGTTTGGGAAAGATGAGGCTTATAAAGAAAATATATGTTCAGCTATTCTGTTTGCATTCTAGTTGGCTTGCTTAGGTTAGGCCTGAGATTGGTTTCTTTTAAAACTTCTGGTGGCTCAAATGTGGCAAGAGTGGCTGTGACACGATTTCTGTCATTAATTATTTTCTCTTCAACATGGGACTAGACAGATCAACAACTGAGCAACAGGAATGTTTAATCAGCAATGCCTTCCAAACACGAGGGGGAATAAAAACCATGTACACTATCAAAATCAAAATGGTCTCACTTGTGTCATCCCTATGTTAAATGAGAGAAAAAGAAAAGATCCCATATTTCAGGATTCCCTGAATGCATGTTTGTGTATTGGCAAATCCCTGGCGAAGGCACACCGCTGAGGTCAGGAGGAGTTGAAGGATGGAGTGACCACTAACGGGAATGAGGAGTCCTTCTGGGGAAGATGAAGATGCTCCGAGCCAGCAGGTGTGAGGCAGCGCAGTGTCGTGGAAGGAGCAACTGCCACAGACTGTAAGGGGCAAATGTGAATTTCATGTTCCCTGAATTTTATCTTGATAAAACTTTTACTAGACATTTAAGGCAATGCACCCTTTTGTCCTCATCAATCATTCACCATCTTCTCAACACTTAGAGTAAAAGCTTGAGTTGTTCTCCATTTTTGTTGTTTTTTTTTGGTGGGTAAAACAAATCACAGATCTGTGATATTTGTGTGAGACACTTTAGTCTAGTTCTGAAAAATTTCTTGAAACAGTACAAAAATATCACTGCTTTGCTTTATGGTGTAGGATGTCTAAAACCCAATCTTTTATTTATGTATCGTGGATGATAACAACATTTTTACCGGTGAAAAATCAGACTTCTCTCCTTTCTGAAGACCTTGGCCCACATCTGATGGCGTGTGGTGTGGCCCTCTAGTAAAGGGTGGATTCTGAACACATCCCTGAGTTCTCCCAAGGGCACAGCCTTGGAGTTCATTGTGCAGAGGGATACTGGCTTGAGGTCCCAGACGTGCATCTCTCTGGTCTGCTGTTAGCCTTCCCTGCCAGTTGGAAAGGGAGACAGCAGAATGACGCCCGTGTGACTCACACAGTCCAGTTGTGGGGACCAAGACCGTGACTTTGGCCCCGGATGCCCTGGAAGTTCGTTCCCCTCCCTCGTGAGATGGGCTGCACCTTACATGGCTCACAGGACTTCTGCCCCTCTGAACCAAGGCCTGTGGGATCCCGTGGGCGTGGGACACCGTGTAACTTACAGCTCATTTTCCTCTTTCTCGATGATTAGGGAAGAGATTTAGATTTAGATTTGCAGATTTTAGAAAGGAAATAGACTTTCTTGGCATAAACTGTGGGCACTGCCCTGACTGCTGTTGTAATCTCATTTCTAATTCATATCTGTTGATATATTGTTTTTCTCTCTCTTCATTAAAGAAAATAAGCACATTTCATTTAACCTTCTAGTAGGACATATGTATTTTTTAATTTTAAAGAGAAAAAGTATAAAAACAATGCTACAGAATTTCAAAATAGTAAAACAGAAGGTTAACACTGGTTTATAGACTGTGTGTATTGTTATTTTCAAAGTATTTTTTCAGATTACAAGATGTAGGTATGAAAAAATGTTCAAGCAATCAAACAATGAAAGTACAAGTTGTTCTTTTTGATGAGCTAACACAGATTAGTAGCATAATTATCTATTCTCATACAGCCATATGCATTTTTAAGTTAATATAATTCCTTTCCTTTGGAATAAGATGTGGGCTTAAAATAGAGTCCAGAGACAAAACCCCACATCCCTATTACAACAGGAGAGAGGAGCACAGATCACTGTCCTACCACCTGTCAGTGTCTCACACACACACACACAGGATAACATGCGCAGCCAGACAAACTCTTGGGTATTGTGCTGGCCGTTCCTAATCCAGTCTCCAGTGTCCTCAGGGAGGCCTTACAACTAAAAGTCACCACCTACCATTTAGACTCCGAGCTCTGTATCAGAACCCGATTTACAGCAGCCTTGACGTCCTTGTTCCGCAGACTATAAATGAGTGGGTTCAGCATGGGGGACACCACAGCGTAGAAGAGCACCACCACCTTGTCCTGCTCAGCTGGGGCCCTGGAACGGGGCTGGAGATAGGTGAAGAGGGCCATCCCATAAGACATGGAGACCACAGAGAGGTGAGAGGCGCAGGTCTCAAAGGCTCTACAGCGTCCCTGGGTAGAGCGGATCTTCACAATGGAGGCCACAATGTGAACATAGGACAGAGAGACTAGGAAGCAGGGCAGCAGCAGTACCACCACACTGGAGGCCACTATGACTACCTGGTTGAGAGTGACATCTACACAAGCCAACCTGACCAGTGCCATGGTCTCACAGGCCACATGGTTCAGCACATTGTGCCCACAGGTGGGCAGGCGCATGGTGACTGCTGTCTCCACAGAAGAGTTAGCCAGGCCCATGAGCCAAGGGACACCAGCCAGTGCCACACAGAGCCTGGGACTCATCACTGCCATGTAACGCAGGGGCTTACAGATGGCCACGTAGCGGTCATAGGCCATGGCAGCCAGCAGCAAAAACTCGGTCCCCCCAAGGGCCAGGGAGAAGAAGAGCTGGGTCCCACATCGGGCAAAGGAGATGGTCTTCTTCTCCAGCAGGAAGTGTGCCAGCATCTGTGGGACTCCGCTGGAGGTGTAGCAAATGTCCACAACTGCAAGGTGGCAGAGGAAGAAGTACATGGGCAGGTGGAGTCGCGTGTCCAGTGCGATCAAGAGGAGGATGAGCCCATTGCCCAGCAGGGTCAGCAGGTAGGTGGCCCCAAAGAGCACAAAGAGCCCAGCCTGGGTCTGTCTGTCATCTGAGAGACCCATTAAGACAAACTCACTCACCCAGGTCACATTGTCCCTCATGGAGCAGGTGGGACGGGCTGCTGGGCTGGGGCAACAGTGTGAGAATGGGCAGGTAAAGGACCCACTTTTGGAGTCTTGAGTTAATCCCCCACCTGTGATGTGAGATGAAACAGGGTCACTGAGGTGGGATTATTTATCCTGGAAGAATAGAGGACAGTGCATGAAGACAGTGGGAAAGGGACACTGGGCTCTGACACTAAGCTATTAGGTTCTCAAGTGATCTTTGTGCCTGTCATGTCCAGGGCTTTGGGTGGGCCCAATGAAAAGACAAGAAAAGAAATATAAAAATAAATGTCAGGGAAAATAAATAATGATAGAAGAAATGGGGAAAAAGGAAGGAAAATAAAACTAAAGCAGAGAAAGCTGCAAAGTGAGAATGTGAGGAAGAAAAGTAGGAGACAGGAAAGAAAGGAAAGGTCTTCAGTGTGGGGCCGCAGTGGGCACAGGGCTGTAATCAGACACGTGGGAAAGCAGGGAGGCGCTAGGGTCCTGGGTGTTTTTCTGGGAGTCTGGGTTCAGTTATTTCTGTGCTTCCTCAGGCTCAGCCTCCTTCACAGCTGTGAGAGGCTTGTGCTCATGTCTCATCTTACCTCAATCCAGATGGAACTCACGTCCTTTCAGCCAAAGGTGCTGCCTTGAACTAAACTTTGGGTACCTGATTGTAAGCACAAAAGTGAGAATTCTTATTATCTTGGTTGATACAATTTCACTAGAGCTAGAGATTAAATTAATCATTACAAAGATATTAATTAAGTAAATGTGCTGACAGGAAGAGGAGCAAGGTTAGTACTTGGTAAATTAAATTATAAGCTTTGTAATTAAATTATCACTCTAGTTATTGATCACTTCTCAGAATGGTACACTTAACCTACTGAAATGGAAGCGATTTTTTTGTTGTTGTTGTCTTTTTGAGATAGGGTCTCACTACGCAATTCAGGCTGGCCTTGAGATCACTTTGCAGACTAGACAGTTGTTGATTTTGCAGTGATCCTCCTGCCTCAGCTTCCTGAGTGCTGGGATTACAGGCGTGAGCCACAACGCCCAGCCTTATGGAAGTGATTGTTTAGATATTCATAAATTGTTTAAAAGTAATGCACCATGAGTGTTTGAAAAGCAATGACACTCACATTCAGTTACTGAACTACTGAACATGGCCAGGGTGGCACAGGGTCTTCTCCCCTTTGGCTTGATGACTGGCCCTCTAGAAACACAGGATTAAAGACTATCAATTTTTCTTCATAAGAGTATAATTTCTGGGCATGTATTCGGATCTCAGAATTATTTGATAAATATTTCATTGATGAAAAAATGTGTTGCATATATGAGGCATTATGATTTCAGCTAAACTCTGGGAAACACCACCTTTCAAAGTCAAGATCTTGTGTGTAGAAGATCAGCAATGCCACAGAATCAAATAAGGAATTTTAATAATTGGTTTGTTTTTAATTTTTTTTTTTGTCTTTTTCTTTTTTATCGGTACCAGGGATCGAACTCACGACCGCCTGCTTGCAAGGCAGGTACTTATGCCACTGAGCTAAATCTCCAGCTCTTGGAATTTTAATAATTGGTTCTTGGTAAAAATCTATGGGAAGCCAACCAGAGCATGTTTGAAAATCACTGGAACAAAGCAGAGGACAAATGCAATACATCAGTGTTAAGAAACCCAGACTGGAGCTACAAAATCAAATTCATGAGCCTGAAAAGCATAATTTACTCAATGGTTCTCCTGGCTGGAAATAGCAGCTGGATTCCTATTGTGGAGGAGAGAGAAGGTCTGCATGGGGCAGGAGTTTGCTGCCTCTCGTGAGGTCTGTTCTATGGTGGCCAGAGTTCTCCTGGCTATGGATTCTTCTGGATGAAGATCAGCTCGTGGGGTTAGAACTGAGGGGGGTAGTGGCTGGGACTCTGAGTACTGCCAGGGAGCCCATACTGCCCACAGAGCCTTGCTCTTGGGTAGGTCTAAGTAATTACTCAATTTGGATCTGCTGCCATCTGTAGGCCACTTGTTACTGCAGATGCAATCCTCACTTTCAGGGTTGGTGTTGAGGATCAAGAGTTCCTCCAGAAGGAGATCAAAATTGAAGAAAATAAAGAGGCCAAACATTCTGTCTCCTTTATTTTATAAACAGGAGTCCCAGGGAACAGGGGTAAGGTGGCATGCCAAGGATCAGGTGCACTTGGATCAAGCTGAAGCAAGGTTCAAGGCTGTGTTCATTTCTCATCCTTTACAATGCCTATCTGGGAGAGGTGGGGTTCACTGGGTAGACTTGGCTAGAAAGGGAGGCATCTGTGGAAGCTTAGAGCGGAGGCTCAGGGAGCTGCACTGTCTTATAGAGAAGTGCACTGTGGTGAGCAGGAGAAATTCAGAATGAGAATCAAGGAATTGGTGCCCTAGTTCACCTCCCTCCTTAGCCTGCTTGCACAAGTCCTGAGATCAGAGTCTTCCTCTGAAATGCATGGATAGTAACTGTGCTGCCTCAGCATATTTGGAGTAAGATCAGATGAACAAGTGAATGTAACTCTGCCTTGTAAAGACAGTAAGTAAAACTTGAGGCTCTCATAACTCTGCTGAGCAAGTGTGTATCATGGAGGTAAATGATGTCCAATGACACATGGACAAGTAACAATGTAAACATATGCTCTGTAGGTTATGATGTTAATAGCACATGTTACATGAAGCCCCTTGGCAATAAATTCTACCAATTAAACCAATTAAAACATTCATGTAACCATAGAGCCCTGTTTAGATGTAGTGAAGAATTAAGGTAAAGTGAAACCATCCAGTAGATCAGACAAACTCTCCACTCCTATGCAGTACAGTTTTGATGTTTTTTATTGAGATGATATAAAATTTTAATTTATAGATAGCCTTTTTAAGAAGTGTAGACAATAAAAAATTAAGAACTAGAAGGTTTCAGGATCAAATGATTCAGATCACCCACACAATTGTTTAATGGTGGTGCCAAGAGATAAAATTTGAAAATGAGAGAGTAAAGGAATAGGAAAGTGGACTGTACCAGCAGAAATTGCAAAAGCACATGGGTCCAGGCTGAAACGCATCTGGCTTCTTGATGCCTGAGCCTTGATCTATCCCCTGACTGGGATGATTCCTGATACCAATGTTTCTAGCAGACTAGGGACTACTCCTGCCCTTTGATAGTAATTATGCTTCTTCATGGCTGATAATATTCACCAGATTCTTTTTCAAAAGAAAGTTTATCTTTGACTCTTACACCCATCCCAACCCTTCTCCATTCCTTCTTATCTCCCACATGACACAGCTGCCTCAAGCCTAAGAAATAGCTTCTCTCTTTTGAACTCTGACAATATCTATCTACATCCACAAATCATCTCAGCTAGACTATTGATTGGCTGCCTAAGAGTGAGTAGGCCATTGCATGACATGAACACAGTGAGCTACATCATTCCTGTCATGGAAGGAATTCCAATAACCTGAAATATAACCAGTGAAAAATCACATTAGAGGACCCAGGACAGCTCTGATATCACAGAAGATCCAGCTCATCCTCAGGACTCTCTCAGCTCTTCCTGTGGGGACTCACCAGAACTGAGTGTTCACCTCATTCACAGGACTCATTTTGGACAGGAGGCAGCACCTTGCCTAGGAAGCCACTGAGTCTGTTCCCCTCCTTTTCCTGGAGTAGAGGTTTTACTTTGTCAGTCTTGGCCAAGAACTCTTAGGAGCCCAGAAATCCCCTGAGGGCAATTACTTGCTCTGGAAGAGTTCTTGTCCCATCTCCCCCATCCCCAGCTCCTCTGCAATGCCACCTCTCTCCTGTCTCAAGTTCCCTGTGGGATAAACATGCTGAAAGCATTTTCTCCAACTTTTAATTGTTTCTTCAGTTCCTAGGCTAATGAGCCCTTCCATCCTGCTTGAAGAAAGAGTCTTCCTCTTCCTTCAAGGCCATGGAATCACTGGAGACCATGGGTAGGAGTGAGGAACAGAAGTATTTGCTTCTCTGACCTGGTGGAAAGGGACTGAAAGTAATGGGAGGGAGAAGAGGAAGCAAATCTCAGAGCTCATTGTGTCCCCTAGAGGAAGAAGTTGGAAAGGCTTTTCTCCTCTTTCCACACCTGTAGCTTGGTGAGCAAGGAGCAGCTGGTGACATCACACAGTAGAACCCTAATGTCCATGGCCTGAAGCCACCGAGGAGTGCCAAGTCCCACAGGCTCCTTGGTGAACTCTCATGTCACATTCCTGTTGCATTTGCTTGGCATATTTTCATATTTTTGGAAGCTTTTCTTGTCTCACCCATCTTGATGTTAGGCCTATATATAGCACCTAAATTTATCTTTCTCCTTCTACTATCCAATTAAGCCCCAATCCTGAAGGAGTTCATAGTTTCTCAAATTCAGTTCATGGAAGGAAAAACTGTATGGTACCTCTGACTCAGAATATAGACAAAGTTAAAGGAGAGGCAAGGTATAAAGCATTTGGAGGCCTCCATAAGGGAGAAGAAGAAAGAGAATCTTGAGACATGGGACTCCTAATATAAATCAAAGATGGGCTTGCTTAGAAAATTATAGGTAATTGGAAAGTCAAATAAGGATTTCTGGGACAACATGGTGGATAGATAATAGCAGCTACAGAGGCTCTCTGAGATAGCCAGCTTAAATTCCAGGAATGGTGTGGGGTGGGGAGTCATAAGCATGGGGAGATATACCCTGCCAACCCAGGAATGAACTAAGTTGAGAGAAACCAACTGGAAATGCAATCCTGGTGCTACCACTGGAACAGCTAAAGTCTCAGTGCTGAAGTTGGAACCTGTGCCTCTGGAAACCGCGGCTTGCAATTTCTGCCACCGCTGCTGCATCTGAATCGGCACAGCAGGAATAGAGACGTGAAAGCTCTGAGAGCGGGAATTGGTGAACTGAATTTAAAGCAGAGCTGGTGGAGAGTCCTGCATCAACCTGGTGAGTGAGAGGAAAGGGGACCTTTCCATAGAGTAGGAGGCTCCAACAGAGGACATTCTGGGACT